AGAAAGAAATAGTTGATGTGAGAAGGCATTCATTTCAACATCGCATAGTTTGAGAATACAAATGACGAGAAAAAGTGCGGAACTTTCATCGTATCGGCATTGGACGAGTTGAGTATGGTGAATTTGAAAAATTGGACGAACCATCAATCAATCAATGCATCGGGGAGAGACACGTGCCTGTTCTGAACTTCTTTTTCTCCAGCATAGCATTTACTTTCAGACAGTGTGAAAACGTGATACGTCATTGTTGATGTCATTTCCGAACATTAGAACTGGTTTGAAATACACAATCGAGATCAGGACAAGCGAAGAGAGGATGGTGTGCGCTTCACAGTTGAAGGATCACAAGCAGAAGAAATAATCAGTTGACGTATATTAAAAACTGATTGTGGCGTATGAACAGTAGAACTGTCTTCTTTGCAATATGATTGCGCTACGCAAACGATCGGATGGTCTTCAAAATAAACCGGCTCCTACTGCTGATCTACAGATAAGTACCATTTTTCTTAGTTGTGTCCTTCTGGAGATGTACCCTCATGCGAAGCAAATATCAAGAGAGGATCAGTGCTAAAAGTACATTGATTATGAAGTTCGTCTGACGAAGCATAATTGTATCGTCGCCGTCAAAGATAATTTATTGACTAATTATTCCAACCAAGACAAAGTATTACGACGCATGCGAAGAGTAAACCATGAAAGGAAATCTTAGAGACTGTAACTTTGGAACTGATTTTTCTACCTCTGTTTCCACGTTTAATCATGCTGATGTCCTTATGAAATGAAATAAAGATTAGTTTGATAGTAAACTTCCGAGGGAATTGCTTCAGTTTTTCAAATCATGTACGAAAAGTTTGACAGAGATAGAGTATCTTTTAATTCTTCGTCGAGAATTGTAGTTATGTTTTACTGAAATTCTTGCTTAGGCATTCTCAAGACAGAAGAAAAATCTACCAGCACAATTCTTAACGACACTGAACATGTGAGGCATCATCGATCTGATAAGATTCGGGTACATTGAATAATCATTTTTTTCGTCAATGTTAGATGTGCATCAAATCCAATTCCCAGATACTATGTGAAATCTTCGTTTTTTCAAACGATAGACAAGTTAAAATACTAATATGATAAAGAATGAGTTAAATTGTAATCAAGATTTTACCTTTTCTGATTAGTTTTCATCGGTGTGAAGCTAGCACCACGAAACTAAGGATTTTCTGAAAACAAATTCCCGTCGATAGAACCTACTGTATCCGATGCAGAATCAAATTCTCCGTCGAGCAGACTTTTTTCCATGAACAGGAATTCGTTCTGGGCAGTGATATTGCGTGCCGACTATCGAAAAACGATGCCTATACATGTATACAGGAAGCAGAAAGATCAAAGAAAACTTTTCCCCCGAACGTTTTCCTATGAGCTGAAATGTCATCATTCGATTCAGAATTAAATTCTGCATCGAACAGAGTAAGTTTTATCGACGGGAATTCGTTTTCAGAAAATCCCTAGTTTCGTGGTGCTATCTGCACGCCGATCCGACGTTGACTTGAGCCTGCTCTGGATTCAAACCGCTCCACCGTCCATGGGAAGGTGAAGTACTGGCGATGTGAAGATCGCACCTGTTCTGCTTTTCTTCATATCGACAGAAACAGCAACTACAAAGCGTACTCAGGCACTCATAACGGTCATCTACCCTTACCTTCAAGATAGGCTTAATTCTAATCAATCGAAGTATCCGTCATCCCTTCAATTTGACTCGTTTGGAGATATTTTTCTGGCTGAGCAAGGAAATAATTGAATCCAAAAGTTCGCTTTAATTATCAGTTCAGAACGTAAGTAAAAAGATTCCATATGTCTTTTGTAGTATCTTCGATTTTCTCATCGACTCGAAGATTAGTGGCTCTCAATTATGTAATCACTATCAAGTCTCGTGTTAGGCGTCGAAAAACGATATCCTATTACCATCCAATTTTCAGTAAGAAAGTACATGCATCTGTATCAGTTGAAGGAAGGCTGTAAATGTATACCATTATATAGGATAGCTTGGACACGAATTCCACCTTTTCTTGAACGGATTCGCACACAAGTGTATTCCAACTCTGATCACATTTGTTCCAGATACAGCTCGATGAGCTCTATCGACTCCAATTATCAAAAAAACTTTCACCCAACCTCACCCACATCCACACCTTCACCCAACATCCAAATTCATCCGGATCCTCATAAATTTCAGCTTCTATATACGAAGTCTCATAAGTGATGTCTCTAGATGAATCTGCACAGGTCTTACTGCATTCATTGTACGATTCGCATGAGTTTGGGTGAAGGTGTGGATGTGGGTGAGATTGGGTGGAAATTTTTTAATGAATGGAATCGATAGAGCTCATCCAGTTGTATCTGGAATAGTTCTTGAAATGGTAGCTAGAAGTGAAGAAACGAATCCGTTCAAGAAAAGGTCGAATCTGTGCCTCAGATATCCTACATGATTGTAGCAGAAAGTCTCGTTGGTTTCACCGCAAAAACTTATGCATTGCAGGTAAATAAGAAAAAAAATCAAAACTCAGATAAAAATATCCTTTTTGCTAAACGAATTACTACAGAATGAATCTTTGTCATTGAAGAGCAGTTCAATAATAATAAAACATCTTTGTCGAGTATTTTTGTTTTTTTAAATCCAAGTAGATGCGTCGGTGCACATCATATATACAAGGGATTCGGTATTGCATATGCGTGATAACTCTGTTAATTATTCTATTACTCATCAGTATGGAGATCTATTACGCGAAGAGTGAGTGAATAAATGACAAATACAACTTTCAAACATATTATTTTAGTTTTGATGCAACAGTCTTGACCAGAAAAGGTCATTTGAACCTTTGCGGCACATTTGCACTGACTGAAAGTCATAGTTGTTGTTTTCGAATGAAACTACTCATTCTACAGCAATACACTCTGTGATTTACTTCTGGTTATTTTGGTGGTTCTTCTTACAATTCGGTTTTGTATTGATGCATTTAGTTGTCATATAATTATTAAGTGTTGCTTTACTAAAGTCGATAACAAGAGACCAATAAAATTTCAAGAGAAATCTCATTTATCTGAGGACAAATATGCGCAAATTAGTACGATGTTTTCTCTCTATGACGAAATGTACTTTGCACGGAGATCAACATCAGCATTTATCAAAAACTTTCTCTAACTGTGATTTTATGAACATACACGCTAGATTTGTATTTATCATTAGTCAATATTCTTTCCATTTATTCTGCATTTCCTAAGCACGTTAAGTATTTGGTCACCTGTGCAACATTTTTATCTGCTAGTAAATTAATACATCCTTTATGAAAATAAATTCTCAATTCTGACGATAAAGACTCGGCTACAAAAATCTACTATTTTATATTTTTGAACAATGCAAGTAGCCACTAAAAGATCGACAAGTAGAATGAAACGACTACGCAACTATGTTCTGAAACTAAACATCTATGGTGATAAAAGTGATTTGACACTCATTGATCAATTATTATCGACGGGAGTATTCCTCCTTTTATTATTCATACTTCTGATTCTCATTACAGTTTATCTTATTCTCACTCTTCAAACTCATTCGGTGACTATTCAGTCTCCATCGGAATCCGCTTTCACACAACTGTCTCAACAATATCCAAGCACACTTTCATGCCCATGTTCACGCACATCTGTTCGACATGATCGATTTCTCTCACTCGATCCTCAGTATCATCCCATTTGTACGAGTCTATTAGTTAATCAATCATTTATTTCATTATTATCTTCTGCGAATGTGAGTGAGCATTTGGTTGATGATTATCGAATAATGGCAACATCTCATTTTCAAATTCTTGCTTTACTTTGTCGCACAGTTCGACAAATGATTGATGATTCTCTCAGTGAATTTCTCTCACAGTATTTCACTACTTCAGAAGCTGTCTCAAACGAAACATTCAATGCCCAGATGAATCATCTTGTAGAACAATTGAAAACAACAAATATTGCCAATATAAAATATACAAGAGATTTTCTGTGGTTGAACGTGTTCTACAATGGAATTTATTCGGGATTAAAGACAAACTTTTACGATAAAGGCTCGGATGGTCACCTTATGACCTACATTGTGCGTTCTTATAATTCTTCAAATGGGGTCTGTAGATGTCATAGATCTATTGATTGCACTGCACAAGCTAAAATCACAAAGATAGTATCGTCTAATGCAACTGTAAATACAACGACGGCTGCGCAGAAATCAATCAAACTCTTTACTATAGCTGGTCTAAAAGTTGGTTGTTTGCCATACAACTCATTACTTCAATCGACTCTTCAATGTTTCTTCAATCAATCATGCATCAATCGAATTCAAAAGTACCTCCCTGCATTAACCTTCGTCCCTCCGCTCTCTGCTCACTCTCGTTTCCAACAAGATGCCACAGTCGAGCATCTTCTCGATCAACTCTTCGTCGAATCATGGAACCCAATCAGCAATTTCACTGCTTATTTTCAAAGTTGTTCTCCTCACTCATGCATATATTCAAATGGTCGACGATTCAATATTCTTTACGTCATTGTCAAACTCATTGGCATTTTCGGTGGCTTGAAGATGGTGTTGAAGTTCTTTGCTCCACTCATTGTCAAACTTATTCGACGTACTCAAACGTGTCGATGCATTTCTGAGACAGTGGACGAAAATGAAATGCCTGTTCAACAAAGTGAGCTATTTCTTTTCATAGCAATATTTATTTTTTATTTTACATGAAATAGATGCAAAGCATCATCTTGCATCTCTTGTACGGAAAATAAAAACAAAACTGAAGACACTGAATCTGTTTCCATTGTTGTCTGACGAAACAGATGGATTGTATTCGACACGACTCTACATCATCTCATATATCATTGGAATCATCGTGTTAGTCTTCTATATCTCGATATCAGTTCAGATGCGAAGCATCACTATACACGATCTAAGTTTGAACGAATATGAACGATTGTATGCGAAATATGGCAGAACATTGATCTTTCCATGTAGACATATGTCTGTGTCTTATTCTTCGATTATTCATCTCGAAGTCGAACATCATCAAGTATGTTCGAGCGAGTTTATCGACGACAATGTTTGGTTGCCATATTTTAATACGACTATTCGTTCCTTCTATGCGTTGGATTTTCGAATTGAAGGTTCAAATATATTTCGCATACTGCAGTCATTATGTCGATTATCGAATGAAACAGTGAGAAATCAACTACGAGTGTTCAATGAAATGCAATTCATCAATGCACATGTTGTGTCAAGAGATACATTCGATATTCAAACATCCATTCTAATTCATCAATTGCAACAAAAGGTAACGAAACTTCAGCAATATTGCGTGTTATTCAGAGCTAAAAGAAACGATCCTATGAAAGAGGGTGCCCAATAGTGGAAGTTCCAAGGGGAGAAAAGCAAGACTTCAGACTTCAAATACTTCACCAATACTTCACTCTTACTTCGCTAGCACTTCACTGTTCTTCAAATATTATCTGAAGTAGACGAAGTCTCGTTTTTCCCCCATGAGAAGTTCGCACTTACAGCTTGTCTGCATAAAGCAACATAGGCTACCATAGATTAGGGTTGCGCAAACGCAAGTACTCAGATAGTATACACAGTTTGTATTCACGATTCGTAGGAAATGAGTGAAATAAATCGTAGTGCATTTGCAAATTTGAACCCAATATTAAGAAAGATCTTTGATTATTGTAGACTCTTGACTCATTTTTAACAATATTTCAACTGGTTCGTGCATCCATTCAGCTGAACCAATTTATGGTATTTGGTAGTACAAATTCTCAAATCAAGCAATACAACAACAACGGTACTCTAGTATCCCGTTTTGTGCCAAATAATGACTACGACTATAACTGTTCATGTGGCCAAAGTGTTGATTGTCGACGTTCACAAGGTTTTTACTGTACCGCGTCCACATGTAAATCATGGAAGAATAGACCAAATCAGACTATACCTGGTTTAGTTCTAAGTTGTTTACCTATCGACTCTCTTCTTCTATCAACACTCGAGTGTTTCTACAGCTCACCATGCATTCAAATGCTCATCGAATGGCGTTCATTTAACGCCACAGTTCAAACAAATGATTCACGTTTCACTAGCGTCACTCCGCTGGATCCAATGCGTAACACTCGTTTTCCACCTACGACCAAACTGGAAAAAATTGTCTCAGAGCTATTCATCGAAAAGTGGATAAACAAAACCAACTTCACCGCATTCTATCAGCAATGTGCACCACACATAGGTACTTATACATCTGAACAGCACTTCGATCGTGTGTTTATTATTATAACAATATTTGAGATCATCAATGGTCTTTCTCTTATTCTTACAATACTCATTCCATTCTTTGTCAAACTATGTCGAGGAATCAAGCGTTACTGTTCCCAACCTCCCAATGGCATTCGAAGAGGAGTCATACTCAATGTACGCTTTTCTCACCGAAATATTCTTCAAAAATTTGCGAGGTTCAAGAATTATGTGCAGACGTTGAACTTATACGACAAACGACACTTTCGTCCCTCACCAGGTCCTCCAACAATAACATCTACTGATGTTTTGTTGATCGAACGACAGCGCTTCGCTACTCGTGTTTTTTTCATTTCCTTTATCATAATTCTCCTGGTTGTTGTCAACGCTATTACCTTCAATGTTTCAACGCATTCGCTCACGATTTCATTTCCATCCGAATCAACCTTTGAATCTCTTCAAAGAAAATATTCATCAAAACTTTCTTGCCCATGTTCACAAACTACAGTTTCATTTTCCAAATTTCTCTCAATCGAGCCAAATGCATATCATCAAATATGTTCAAGTGACTTTATTTCATTTCGCTTCTTGGATATTCTTTGGGGGTCCAATAGAAGCAGCATGTATTTTAGACCGGTTGACGATAAAGTGTTGAGTATACAATTTCGACTGTTGGCAGCATTATGTTCTCTTGCAAACAGCACCGTTGAGGAAAGGATACGAACACTATCGAATCGAGAACTCGTCACTCTCGAACCATTATCACGACGCTCATTCGATGATCAAATTCACTCGATTGTGAACAGTTTTATACGAGAAACGCCTCGTGATTTTCGGCGAACACATCAATATATCAATGACATGCTTCATGCTAATCAATTTCAAACTTTTCTCTTGACAAATTGGAATCTAGTAACAACATCTGTTGGAACATCACACTATTTCTCAACAAGTCCAGTTTCAGTAAATGAAAGTGACCAGTTCTGTTCATGTGAGACTTCCTCAACATGTGCAAGATCGAAGCTGGAAAACATGAAGTACCGAGAAACATTCGCTGGTAAAATATTGATGAAGAATAGAACTCAACTTCTTCTTCTTGCTTGTAGGTCTCGTTGTCGGATGTTTACCTGTTCATGGCCTTCGACTTTCAACTCTCGAATGCTTTTACAGTTCACGATGCTTGGAGAAATTAACTAAATTTGTCAATAGTTCATCGGTTCTGTCGCCTTTGGATCGATCGATTCCTAGTCGTTTCACACCAATCTCATCAACACCGATCGGTACTCTGATCGATGAGTTGTTCATCGAATCATGGCAGAATTCGTCTAATTATTCGAGTTATTACTCGATATGTGCACCATCGAACTGTCGATACACATATGTCGAAAGAAATGGTTTTGTATACACGTTGACTACGATTCTTGGTTTATACGGTGGACCGACTGAAGGGTTGCCTATCGTTATTTGGAGCAGTCTGTATGTGTATTGGAAGATTCGTGAGCGAATCAAGAGACATAGACGTATTTTATCTATAAATGGTGACTGAAGCGTGTGACATTTATGTTGGACGCTATAGTTAGAAAGTAAAATGACATATATTTGTGCCCCTCGCTTTCACTTATGACCATATGAATTATTTCCGAAATATCGGTTGATACGTGTTATTCCTATCTTTTGTTGTGTCATCTAGACAAAACATATTTTATGTCGGATATCTTGGACACGGATTCGCACACAAATGCATTCCCACTCTGATCACATTCGTTCCATGTGGAACTCGATGAGCTCTATGTATTCCAATCATAAAAATGTTTCACCCAACCTCACCCACACCCTCACCCAGGCGTTCACCCACACTCTTGTAGGTATAAGGGATTATACCAAAAGATATCTGGAAATATCCATATTGAATCATGGGATATTCTCCGGGCTTTTTCCTTACTGATATATATATATATATATACAGTCGTGTTTTCTCTATCGTTCGTTCGTTCGTTCGTTCGTTCTCTTTTTCTTCATTTCTTCTCCTCTTCTTGTTGTTCTACCGGTTCTTCTCGCATATTGTACGTGTGCTTTTCCCTGCTTGGCTTTTCCCTGCTTGGCTTTTCCCAATAAACGAAACTCTCACGGTCACTTACAACCCTCACCCACATCTTCACTCACACCCTCAAGTTGCTGATTTTTCAATAGGAAATGCAACGAAGTAGTTTGGTTCATTCTGAAGGAGATTCTAAACTAGATGAAAGCATGAAAGTAGACAGGTAACATTAATAAATGTTTAGAAACAGTGTTCCTTTTGCTTACACCTTTGGACAAGTGCATCGAAAATAGTTTGACATGAGTAAAATAGAAAAGGATTGAGAGAAAAGAATATACATAAAAGTGGCTTTAATTCGAAGTGGATTAGAGTGAGATATGCCTGGAAGTTTTTATCTAAAAGTCTTCTAATTCTTTTAGAAAAGGGTCAGCGAATCCAACAGATGAGTGCTACTTGTACTTGGGTACTACAGAAATCAATTATGAATTAATTTATTGGCCATATCCATGTAATATTTTACTCTTGCAGCATATATTCCGTACACATAGTATGCACTATGCGAGAGCGCTATCTTAGCTGACAGATGTATAGTTTATATTTGATGACTTAGCACTCTAGCAAACATAGATAGACATCAATATTGAAAATGATACTAGATGAAATAAACACTTATTTTCTTTTTAATTATCATCAATATAAAAAGAATCCGAAAATAAAACGGTCCTGTTTTTACCAATACTATTTTTTAGATTTCTTTTTCGACTTTTCACTCGATATTTTCTCTAATCATCATTCAATTACAATAATTAAATTGTTTGTTTGTTTACAAACGAGACTTTGTTTGATGTTAAAAAATTAACTACAAATGATCAAATAATACTGAACGGCAAATAAATAAAAACATTGGATATTACCCAGGACCATCGTTCCTGGAAGCAGTATTCCGCTTATTTACGGCGAAAACCCGCAGGATATTCATAGTTTCCGCGCTGGAAACCACGAGAAAGTACTCGGAATCCTACCGAAGGAACCGGTAACCGTATCCGACTATCGGTTATGGCGGGTTCTTGCTGGTTCCGGATAAAACCTTTTAAATCTGATGAAAGGATCCGATCGCCGGAATACTGCTTCCATGAAATCCGCGGAAGGTCCTGGAACCGGTCGGTTCCGGGCCGGATTGTTCGACCTGGGTATAGAGATGACAATTTGATGGCTCTAAAATCGAAGAGTATTAATAAAAACAAATATTAAAATTAAAATTAAATCGAGAGCCAAAAACATGAATCTATGAAGCAGTTCATGAACGACGAGCAGGTTCAAAAAGAACAACGTCGCTCAGGTCATTGGAGCTCGGTCGGTTAAGTTTATTATTCAACGATTTCCTTGCTGCCAGAATTGGGCGGCGAGGAATTTGCCGAATCTGATCGGAACCTGCTGAATTCGGTCGAAATCGACAAAAAGTGTACCGAAACCGGCTCGTATTGAGAAGGATGCAGTCACCGGAACGATCGATCTGCCAAGTTAGCAGTAAACAAGTTAAGTGTATACAAATTTATTTTGTTTTAGGAGATGAGTTGCATCATTTAATTATACAGGCGAATGATTTATTGGCAATGTTCTTGATGTGTTATAACATTACTAATGTTTCATCGAATTCGATTGTTCGTATTCATGACCTCAAGAAAGAGCTTAATGGGTCTACGAATCAATCATACATGTATAACTTGAAATTTGAATTCAACTATTCAATATCAAAACAAGGGTGCGGGATAGATGCTGATGGCGCAGTAACTTAAGTGAATGTACGATAACAATGGAATACTTGAATAATGGAACGGATAGTTCATTGCGTGAATTCAACTTTCGAGTTTGACACTACTGAAAAAACAATGAAATTGTATTACTCATGATTGTTTCGATGGTTTTACCGACGATTTAATTGACGACACACGAAAAGCAGAGAGTTTCATTCAATACATTAAAGATGAAAATAAAATTAATTTATCTAATATTAATATCGATAAAGAAAAATAATGATGAAATTGTTCCCTTTTCTGAAAGAAAGGGTTATAGCGTCATAAATACAGTCATGAGAATCGATAAAGTTTGTTTGTTTGTTTGCATAATCCAATCAGATTGCAGTGTGTTATAAATTAATGAAGTTTCTCTATACTCATCAAAGATTGACCATCGATGAGGTAATCGACGTCGAGGATCTCGAATCCGACGTTAGTGTTGCTTAATTAATTATTAATTTTTCATCAACTAGCCACGACTTATTAACATCCATTGTCAGAGTAGACCGAAGTATTTTTCACGTCGGAAAATTCGAATTTGAGGGTGAATTTCGTTTTATTCGCTGAGCCTCCGCTTGTTCCTTTCTGTTTACAAAGGAGATATTTTTTCTTTATCTGTTCTGAAATCTTTTGTAGAAGATGGAGAGCTGAACGCTATTCACAGACGTCATGCGTACAAAGATAGTAGCTCAAGAACTTACACGAAAAGATCTAATGCATTGTACATGATGATGTTTCTAATTGAAGAAATCCGAAAAAGTGATATGAGCTTAGTATCATCTTTACTTTTTAGGCTACATACATCATGTCTTTTTATGGGAATTTAGTAGAAGCAGTTCGCAAAGTGATATACCCGTCGGTGGAATTCCATCTTAGTAACTACAGACGCGTGGACTATACAAACAGTATTCTGAACACATACAGCACTATGAAAGATGTTCGTTTCGAAGCAAATTATAGAATAAGACTTTCTTATCTAGTTTCTTTTGTTAGTCGAATGAATAGAAGATCATGACTGTCGAAGCGACAATAAAAGAAAATCCAATCGTTCAGTTTGAAAGTTGATCAAAGGCGAAAAGAATAACAGAGACAGCATGGCAACGGCTAGCCGTGAGTGACCGACCGGAGGGAGGTCGACGAACGACTAGGCGCTTAAATGCTAGATTAATCCTAAAGTATGCGCTTAGAATAACCTTGCCAGGCTTCCGATAGTTTTGAAAGGGATTTGACGAATGCATATTCCTCACTGAAAATATTCGACAAGGTATCATTTTGTTGACAGGAGAGAAAAGAATCGGTTTATCGCTGTACGACACAAGCGAATGTTGAAACTTTTCGAGTAGTCTACTGTATATCATCCGTCTATGAGTGACTTAGTAAAGCATTTATGAAAATTTCCATGCGCGTGATATGAAAATAGAAAAACAGATGACAAAGGTGAATGGTTCGCCATGAGTGGTCGTCTGACTAGCTGTTGAGCGATGAATTTTCCAGTTAACATAGTGAGTGCTGGAGAATTATCCACTGACAAATGGCTAATCGGTCTGATTCCTAAAAAGACCTCTGTATCCTATTCATTCTAGTTCTAGTGTGTGACATAGTGCCATGATTCAGTTGAGCACTAGTAGCAATCGCAGTGCGTTTTTTCTCTTTCGAAGTCTCTGAATGTGTTCAGCATTCGGAAAAGTCTTTCAGAAAAAGGTCAGCTAATGCAACGGATGAGCGTTACTTGTCATTATATAACTACAAAGTTGTCAATTGATTTCGACATCAGAATTGAAAACTTACAAATCGTATCATGCACATCCAAAAGAATATTTGGATTATATCGAACAATATTTCGATTCAAAATTCAAATGCTTTCTTCTCTATTGTATCGATAGTATTATAAAAATACGTAAACATCAATTAAATCTAAATATCACGTTACAGGTAGTTAATGAGTGTAAGGAAGGATGGATTATTCATGAAAGTAATGAGAGGAAATTGGTTATTAATTTAATATCTTTTGCGTGATGAACAATTATATTCATCTGTCAGGTAATTTCATAAAGTTTTTCAAAACAAAATATCCAATACAATTACAAGAAAAAAGACATGAAATAGAAAAGGATGATCCATTAGAAATTATTGTTAATCATCGAAGTTTTACGTTTTGTTTTTAAAGAATTATTAAATGGACAAATTATTTTTCATACTTTTAATTATCAAATTCAAACTTTCATCATACTTCTTGATGTTATAATTAAAATAATTGAGTTTGTGTTACTTCAGGATATCAATGTATTCGTATAATGTTCGTTTTGAGTACTTTGAAATATTTTAATAATCCAAAAGAAAACTGAAATACTTCAACAATTTATTACGATGAAACATTATTTAAATATAAGAGAAAACGTCGAAAAAAATAGTCCGTATCGTTTTTCCACTGAAGAATGAACGAATTTATGGATTTAAATGTATTTTTACGAAGGAGCTTTAACAATTCATAATATATTTTTATTTCCTTTAATTTTTTGAAAATTTCAAGCGTATTATGAGTGAAATACATGATAAATTGATATTCTAACAGTATCACACCGATTATTAATATCCTTTCATCCGACAATTGGAACAACATGCAATACTATTGATCAATTATATTTTCAAATGAAAATCTATCATCAAACACTTGAATATTTTCTAGAAGTTCTTTCACTTATGTGATCAACGTAACAAAACAATCATTATCATTTAGTTTTTCTTCATGCAAGTATTGCAATTATATATATTATGAAAGATGATAGATCAAATGCTGCTGAATATCTTCTAAAAGCTGAAGAAATTCTTCATCAATCAGTATTAACCATTGATTCTAATGCACGTACCGATATTTATCGAACAGTTACAATTCTTTCAGGTCAAATCAATTTCATCGACCCTCGCTCTCAAGATTTGTTTTCTATTACTTTTCTTTTATGACGAAGTATGTACGACGTGACTGTTGTATTTTCTTTTTCTTCTTATCTGTGAAACTATGGTTATTTAGTTAGAATTGAATTTCTATCGATGCCGATGTTATCTTAACATAATAAATGACACCGTTCGTTTGTTATTATTCTCTTTTACATTGAAGTTCTTTTAGATTCATTATCATCTTCATCCACAACATTCTAAAGACTAAAACATGAGTAAAAACATATTTATTCAATTATCAAATTCAACAAAAGAATCGTCACATTTCGATGATTTCGAATATCCTTTACAATGTTCATTCGATGTCTATGGTTATAATGCATTATCGAAAACATATGAATTCATCTATAACCGCCAATTGAGCATACAATATGGTACTTTAATCGGTGGATTAAATCTGCATTTGAATATCTTGGATTGGCAAAAACATCATTATAGATTGTATCTTAGTGCAAAAAGTAGAGAAAGAAAATTTAAATGCATCTCATCTATCACACTTACTCAACATGGTTTAGTTGATGAAAATAATCCTAAGCATCTTAACACATTCCTGTTAGAGATTGATGATTAATACTATCGGATGATACCGTTTTTAATGATAAAGATCAACATCATAAGAGAAGAATTTTTTTAAATGTTCAACATTTCTTTTTTTTATTTGAGAAACCTTTTCATTTTCGTCTGGTACGAAGTATATTGGTTCTCATTTAAAAAATAAATTTTTAATAGATATTTAATTAATTTCTATTTCATTATTTTCACTAATAGTGATGTAATTTGTTCTCAGTAGTAGTCGAAGAATAAATGCGTTAGACATGCAATAGAAGACGAAAAATTCTGTAAACACATGTTGGATAACACATATTATCGATATTTTTCTTTTTTCTTTTCTTCTGTTCGAATTAGTCTGTTCAGGACGAGAAAAATGTGGAAGAAAAAGAAAATTAATCGTTAAGCATAACGGACGAACATATGCTTTTGTTTATGTGAATATATATATATATATAACTCTACTCAAATCTACACAGTATAGAGGAATGAGAAACATGGATGCTAGTTCTTTTGAACTTTTGCCTAATGATATTTTTTATGACATATTTCGTTATTTATCTCCAACTGATATTCTTCAATCGTTTTTCTCGTTAAATAAACGTTTCTCAAGAATGATAACAAATGAATATTTGTGGAATATTCATATTGACGGATCAACAATTTCATTTATGACGTTTAACGATTATTGTGATAATATGTTGAAGTTAATAGGAAGTCGTATTGTCTCATTAAGAATCACATTAACTAATACGATTAGTGGATGGTCATTCGTCTCATCTTCTTTTCGATATCTTCAAATGGCGCTGCTTCAACGTTTACACTTAATTGACATCGAACCAGATGAATTCGATGAATTATTACTCGATAATTTTGTAAAACAGTTACATACTTTATTAATTGATGTGTCACCTTCTAATTCATTTAATGGTCTACAGATCGAAGGAATTTATCTAGTTAAAGTAAGAAATGAATTAATCTTTCTAGATTTCATATGAAACTAATTTCATTTTATTATAGATTTGTTCAAGGATGCCTTTTCTAAAGACTTGTCGACTTCCATTTAATTATGATGATATGAAAAGGAATTCTACAGGAAACTATTCGCTGAAGTATGAAATTTCTTTAACAAATCTATTAAATTTCAATCAACTTCGAACTTTAACTATTGGCATACATACGGCACAGTTTCTCGAACGTTTACTATTATGTATACCATTGATTGAAAATTTTTCTTTTACCATAAGAAATCGAGATAATCATGAGAACGATAATGAAATTATGTATGTAATTACTATAAGTATAATCTGTACGGTAATAATCGTTGCTATTAATCAATTTAGATTACCTGTTGCCATTGATTCACATCATCTTCGATATTTATCTCGTCTGAACATGCACTGTCTGGATAGAATAAGTTTTTATCGAATGACTGCACTATTCTCTTTAGTTTTCGATCGACTTAATCATTTGTCATTAAAATTAGATGCATATATGTCAATATCTGATTCATTGATTATATCAGGTGATATTATTCAACAGTTATGTATTGATCGTCTTAAATCAATGGCAACATATAGACTTAGTCTATTGTTAAGTGTCGAAAACGATATGCAAGATAAATTCATTTTCAATTCATTTTTAAAATCTCCATTTATTCATCAAGAAAAATCGAGAGTTTTGATTCAGGAATATACTAATCATGATATTAGTCGTTCATATCATTGTTTTATGATATATACATTTCCATATAATGACACAGTTATTAAACCATGTGTATTCTCTACAAATCTTCAAAGGTAGATAGAAATCGTAAACATTTACGAAGTAAATTAATCTGAGCTCATTTCTTTGATTTTGTTTAGATTCAGTCAAACGACTACTAATGCAATGAATTTATTTCCTCGAATAAATACATTGTCATTATTCGGCTATAAGAAGATGAAATATATTCGGGATCTTGGCAATATTCGAAGTTCGATATCGTCGTTAGTACCTTGGACTTTATTCACACATATTGAAATCAATGATAGTGATGTTATTACTCATCATACATTACGATCGATATTGGAAATGGCTTATAATGTACATACATTAGATATCTTTGATGATAGAGGAGTTTTTTTCCGTACGATACTGCATAACAAAGATAGTTTCGGAAGGCGTATCAATCAACAGGTAAGAAATTTTATTCTTTTAAAATTCATCATAACTTAAATATATTTTTCATTGGTTAGATAAAATCCTTGAAAATCTTCGATGCGTCATGGACATTACAGAATGTTCAACGTTTCTGCAGATTACTGTCGAATCAATTTTCTAGTCTGAAAACATTTTCATTTACTATTTTTGCTTCATACCTTCACTGGCGTTGGCAACCATCACATACTATTGGTGGGAAAAATAAATCTACAAAACGAATTGTTAATCTCATTCATTTTATTATTGATCATTTACAACAACTGGTTTGGCTTGAAATAAACTTTTCTAATTTGGATGCTCCTGATACACCTTGTTTCCCAGATTTAATCCGACGACAGCTACATCAATATTCACTTAGTCGACCTTGTCAGTTCAGATGTTCTACCAAAGAAATTCAAATCTGGCTTTAACAATACATTTTGTATCATAGAAGATTTACGCCTTAGGAGCGCTATGATAGTTTTCAATAAAATAGAATATTTGATTTCGTTTCTTAATAAAACACTGAAAACGTCTACAGTCTGGTGTAAATTTTCTATATAAGGTATAGTATCAATAGTTGCGATATCTATCTATATATATAAAGAAGAAAGTTTGTCTGTCTGTTCGCTATGCATTCAGTCCCTGTAGCAGCTATCGGCGTGAAACTTTCCACAATACTTCCTGAGAACCAGAGGAAGGTCGACATCTACTTTTCCCCGAGAACAAAGGAACCAGCCGTTTGCTGCAGGCAATATATGAAACG